TCGCGAGCCACAGTTTGCCGACCACTGCTAGAGTATTGTTAATGAGAGTCACCATGCTGTACATTACTGTAGGTTGCTCTCTAATGGCCCTCTTTGGTAGGAGGGTCCCAGACAAGCTCTAACTACACCTATTTGGCAAATGTGCTCTGACCCCTAAGTAAGGTATATTTAGGGATACAACTACACTTCACATTTGAAGATCAATGGTTTTATTCTGAGGCACAGAGTATGTCAAGAACTCTGGGTGTTCCAAAGGTAAGAGGTGACCTGGAAGCAGATCTTTTCTGTGTCTTACTGCTTTAGTTGCTCAAAAGCAATTCATAGGACTTGATGGAGAGACTCTACACATCAGTTCCAGTCTGCTTTTCCATATCAGTCCCCTCCCACAGGTAGATAGCCAAAGCTGCAATACATAGAATAGGTTTAATCAGAAACTGGTGGAAGTGGGAGTGGGACAGAGTGTGTGGAAGTGTTTTAACTTTTGTTTTTGCTTTCAACATTAGCCAAAAAGTTCCTCCCAATATTTCCAGTACCCACCTGGCAAACATGTCTACTCTAAATATTCAAAATGATAGAAACTGCTTACAGACAACTTCTGATTAATGACCTTAGTAGCAATTGAGTGTTAATGAATTGAAAAGTATGTCATCATCCTCTGTATCACTTATCTGTTACTATAATAATACTGTGTATTAAACAACCACAATAGTTCAGTGGCATGTAATAAACATTTCTTTTGGCTCATCAGTCTACAGATTAGCTGAGCACGTCTGCTGTTCTTAGCAGTCTTGATTTGGCAGTTTTTTGGGTTTTGGGTGGAGTTCACTTCGCTTGTGTCTGGAGGTCTGCGGGATGGCAGCTGATCTAGGACGGCCTTGGCTAGGGTGACTCAGCTCTGCTCCCCATGGTGTTGGAGCTTTCAGTAGGCTAGCCAGGGCTTCATAGTAGTGGCATGGTTTCAAAAGCAAGAGCATGGAAACAAACAAGTCCTTGTGAGGCCTTGGCTTGGAACTGGTATGTAACACTTCCACCACTTTCTTTAGGCCAACACAAGTCACGAACCACCTTCAAGGGCTGGGGAAATAGAATCTTCAAAATCACATTAAAAAGGGCATGGCCAGAGTTTGGGATAGAGAATTGGGATCACTGTTATAATCAAACTATGATATCCCCTTTCATCTTTACCCACCTGATTTGGCTGTATTTCTGTTCTTGAGCTGAGCATTTTATGGGCAATCGAGCAAGAAAGGGACACTGGATCTCAGCATCTACCGAAATGAACAGTTGTGTCTCTGAGAGAGAGGGCCTTTGGAATTTGTGCCGATGGTTTGTCATCTTACTTTATCTGCTTTGTTACCAAAAAGAAAATCATGTCCGAAAATTTGTTTTTATGTGAAGAGGGAGACAAATCAATTACAGCTAAGTAAAATTTGAAGTGTTTAAGGGGAAAATTAAATGTTGCAATTTAATTTTTGTGTATCATGAATAGTAGCAGATATTTAAACCAAATATAATGCATTGTTATGTTTTCAACACTATTTGTAAAAATCTGAGATGTAAGAATAGACCAAAAAAAAAATGTAGAGTTAGAGCTTCAGAGCATCAAAATACCGTGAGTGATCAGTTTTCCCCGTGCTTATCCCTCCATTCCCTATTGATGAACTTACTGATTTGGTAAAATGTCCACCCAGGAAGGGATGATGGTGATTCTTGTGCATGTACCTACTGGTTTCAGAACAAATCATTCCTCATGGTTATATGTGGGATATCATGGTATTCATAACATTTAGCACAGTGTCTTACATGGGCCAGACATTCAAGAAGGTATTTATTTTATTTAAGTATGGGAATGTTGATTTTTGCCGCCCTTTCTGTTTTTTCCAGCTTTAGTAAATCGGCTGTTTGGTTGCGCCCCCCAGGACGACAGGGGTAGACAGGAATGTGTAGGGATAATAGAGGTCCCAGAATCATATAGTGGCCCTCGGCTGCAATTTCCACTCAATACTGATTCTCTTACTATAATGATTGAGGCCTTTAAGAAGCAGCAGGTAAGTGGAAGTATATATACTGCCTTGATTCTTGTACATAAAGTGTTCAATGACTATTTGTTGAATGAGTGAATGAAAACACTACAGCAGAAATGCATTCCCTTGAGGAAAACCTTCACATCAAGTGAAAGCTACCCTGCGCTTTGCTTAACCCACTGAAAGAAGTATCCTCAGGTACACAGAAACCTCCTCTGTCCATTGCTTATGGCATTTCCTTTTTCTTTTTCTGAGATATAATTCACCATAAAATTCACCATTTAAAGTATATTATTTAGTGGTTTTTAATATACTCACAAGATTGTGCAACCAATACCAATAGCTAATTCCAGAACATTTTCATCACCCAAAAAGAAATGTCATACCCATTACTATTCCTTTCTCCCCCAAACCCTGGCAACCACTGTTATACTTTCTGTCTTAATGTATTTGTCTATTCCAGATATTTCATACAAATGAAATCATATAATATATGGCTTTTTGTGTCTGACTTCTTTCATCTAGCATAATGTTTTTAAGGCTCATTCATGTCTCAGCATGTTTAGTTACTTCTTTTACTTTTATGGCTGACTAATATTCTATTGTATGGCTATACTATTTTTGTTTATCAATTTATCAATAGATGGAGTTTTGAATTTTTTCTACCTTTTGGCTATTATGAACAATGCTGCTATGAGCATATGTATAAGTTTTTGCATGAACATTTGTTTTCATTTCTCTTGAGTATATACCTACCTAGGAGTGGAATTGCTGGGTCATATGGTTACTCTATGTTTTCATTTTTGAGGAATTTCCAAACCATTTTCTGCAACTGCACCATTTTACATTCCTACCAGCAATGCATGAGGGTTCAGATTTCTCCAATTATTCTGCCAGCACTTATTATTTTCTGTTTCTTTTAATTTTTATTATAACCATCTTAGCTGTGTGTGAGGTGGTATCTCCTGGTGGTTTTGATTTGCATTTCCCTGATGACTAAAGATGTTGAGCACATTTTCATGTTTATTGGACATTTTTATACATTTTTTGGAGAAACGTCTATTCAGATCCATTGCCTTCTTTAAAATCAGATTATTTCTCTATTTATTATTCAGTTGTAGGAGTTCTTTATATATTCTGGATACAAGTCCCTTATTAGATACATGGTTTGCAAATATTTTCTCCCATTTTAAGGTTGTCTTTTGATATATACATACATACATATATATATATATATATATATATATATTTCAGAGGAAGGGAGAAGAAGAGAGAGAAATATCAATGATGAGAGAGAATCATCAATCGACTGCTTCCTGCATGCCCCCCCTCCCCACTGGGGATCAAGCCTGCAACCTGAGTATGTGCCCTGATGGGGAATCAAACCATGACCTCCTGGTTCATGGGTCTATGCTCAACCATTGGGCAACACCAGCTGCGCTTTTTCACTTTTTTGATAATGTCCTTTGATTCACAAAATTTTCTAAATTAGATGAAGTCCAACTTATCTATTTTTTTTTCTTTGGTTATTTGTGTGTTTGGTGTCATATATGAGAATTCCTTGCCAAATCCAAGGTCATGAAGATTTACCCCTATGTTTTCTTTTAAAAATTTTAAAGCTGTAGCTCTTACATTTAGGACAATGAACCATTTTCATTGATTCTTTGTAAAGTTCAACAAATTTCAAAAACCATTAGTTACCTGTTTGTGTACAACTTCAGTTAATTTCTGTCCAACTTCATTCTTTGCGTATGAGTATGTAGTTGTTCCAGAATCTTTTATTGAAGAGTCTTTTTCCCTCATTGAATGGCCTTGGTACCCTTGTCAAAAATTAATAAACCATAGATGTATGGATTTATTGCTGGACTCCCAGTTTTATTTCAGTGGTGTATGTGTCTATCCTTATGCAAGAAGCACATTGTCTATTAATATGGTATATTACAGTAATTAACTTTCTTATGTTGAACTACACTTGTATTCCTAGAATAAACCCCATTTGTTCATAGTGTATACTTTTTTAAAAATTTTGTTGGATTTGGTTTACTGATATTTTGTGAGGATTTGCATTTTATTCATAAGGGATATTGATCTGCATTTTCTTTTCTTATGATGTCTTTATCTGGCTTTGGTATCAGGATAATACTGACCTCATAGAATGATTTAGGAATTATTTCCTTTTCTTTCTTTCTCTCTCTTTCTTTCTTTCTTTCTTTCTTTCTTTCTTTCTTTCTTTCTTTCTTTTCTTTTCTTTTCTTTTCTTTTTTTCTTTTGTTTTGCAAGAGTTTGAGAAGGATTAGTGTTAATTCTTTAAATGTTTAGTAGAGTTCACCAATAAAGCTGCCTGGTCTTGGATTTTTATTTGTTAGGAGGTTTTTGATTAATGATTCAATCTCTACTTGTTCTAGATCTATTTGTATTGTCTGTTTTTTTCTTGAGTCAGGTTTGGTAATTTGTATGTTTCTAAGATTTTGTCCATTTTATCTAAGTTATCTAATTTATTTGTGTACAATTGTTCATGATACTCTCATAATTCTCTTTATTTATTTTCTAAAATTCTCACCCGAGGACATGCTTTCATTGATTTGAGAAAGAGAGAGAGTGAGAGAGAGAGAGAGAGAGAGAGAGAGGGAGAGAGAGATGTGGAGGTGTGGAGGTGTGAAACACTGTTTGGTTGCCTCCTGTATGTGCCCCAACCAGGGATCAAACCCGCAACCTATACCCTGACTGGAAATCGAACCCAAGACCTATCTGTGTATGGGACGATGCTCCAACCAACTGAGCCACCATTGGTCAGGGCTCTTTTTATTTCTTTAGGGTCAGTGGGGATGTCCCCACTTTCATTTCTGATTATAGTTATTTGCATTTTCACTATTTTTTTCTTGGTCAAGGTAGCTAATGGTTTTTGAATTTTGTTGAACTTTACAAAGAATCAGCTTTTGGTTTTGTTGGTTCTCCCTATTGATTTTCTGTTCTCTATTTAATTTATCTGTACTCTGATCCTTATTTTCTTCCTTCAGCTAGTTTTTAGTTTAGTTTGCTCTTATTTTTCTAACTCCTTAGTGTTAAGTGAGACTTTTCAATTGAAATCTTTTTTAATGTGGGTATTTACAGCTATAAATTTATGTCTGAGCATCACTTTTGCTTTATCCCATAAGTTTTGATATATTGTGTTTTCATATTCATTCATCTCAAAGTTATTTTCTTTTTAAAAATTTGTGTGTTGAGAGAGAGAGAGAGAGAGAGAGAGAGAGAGAGAGAGAGAGAGAGATTTGTTGTTCCTCTTATTTGTGCTTTCATTGATTAATTCTTGTGCCCTGATCGGGGATTGAACCCGCAACCTTGGTGTATCAGGATGATGCTCTAACCAACTGAGCTACCTGGCCAGGGCAATCTCAGAGTATTTTCTAATTTCCTTTGTGATTTTTTTTGACCCATCATTTGTTTAAGAGAATGTTGTTTGATTTCCACATATTTATTTGTGAATTTTCTAGTTTTTCTTCTGTTACTGACTTTTAGTTTCATTTCATTATAGTCAGAGAAAATACTTTGCATGATTCTAATCTTTTAAAATTTATTGAGGCAAAAGATTTATACAATCTGAAGAAAGACAGCCCAATAAATTCAATTAAAAAATAAAAGCTATTGAGGCTTGCTTTGTGGCCCAACATCTGAACTATTCTGGGGAATATTCTATGTGCACTTGTAAAAAATGTGTAGTCTGTGATTGTTGGGTGGAGCATTCCATAGATATTTTTTCGGTATAATTGTGTGTGTGGTCTCTGGTGTTTCTGTTTCTTTAGCTTGTGTTCAGCTAATGTTTTGACGGAATCTCCTTGAACCCCAGGAGCTATTTAAAAAAAATGGAAAAAAGAAAAACCCAGCCTTTGCGGATAGGGTCTATATTGGTACACCCCTTCACTTCCTGGCCAGGCTGTTTACAAATTTGTCTTAGCCTTTACATCCTGCTTGCACTGAGCCATTTTTAAGATGCCTTTTCCTGATTTAGCCTTTGCTTGGTAATTATAAATTTTGACTATTTTCCAGAGCTCTGACAAAGTTGATTATGACAGTATTTTTTTTTTTTGCTTGATATTTTTAAAGTGTTTCTGTGAAGGGATGGGCTTTGGAGGTACCTGCACCATTATTTTCTCTACCATTACCCCAAAACTCTCATTCTCAGGTAGGACACTAAGGACATACCTTAGGAATAAGAGTGAATTAGAAATAGACTGGGCATTGAAGCAAAGTTTTGAATCCTCTAATTGCTGAGATTGAAATATCATCTTAGACAGCTTGTGCTCCTAGCCAGATGGCAAAAGAAAATTTAAATCTTCTCTGCAAGAAAATAGGCCTCACGTTATTTCTCCAAGTTTTCATATACCATGTCTAGTCAATACAAATATTAACTAGGGACAGGAGGATACAGGATTCATGAAAGAACACTGAGAATTTAGAATTCTTTTGTAGGGCAAATCCTTAGTAGTCTGCCAGTTCTTGGATAGACAGGAAAGATGGGTCTCTCCCTCTAATCAACTTCCAGGAGTCCTTCTATTTCCTCCTAATTCTTGCATTACTTCAAGTACTGACTCCTGTCTTTGGACAAAATTAATAATGAAAATTCTCCAAATTTAAAACATATGTTTTTGGGGTCTGGGATAGAAAACAATTTTATTATTTTAGTAGCTAGGAAAATGTAAATTTCAGGATACCATGAGTCATGATTCTTCCAAAGGGTTCAATATGTTCTGAATTCCATACCCAAAGCAGTAACTGAACAATATGTAGATATGACCCCTCTCTCAGCCTTCAGTAATCTAAACGAGTTCTGTCTAATAGAAATTTAATGTGAGTCACATATTTTAAAATTTTCAAGTAGTCCCATTAAAAAAGTAAAAAGAAACAGGAGAAATTAATTTTAATAATATGTTATTTAATCCAGCATATATAATTGTTTTAATATGTTAAAAGTTTTTAATGCAACATTTAACTTTTTTTCAAACTAAGTCTTTGAAATATGGTATGTATTTTGTGCCTATAGCATATCTCAGTTTCAACTAGCCACATTTCAAGTGGTCAGTAGCCCCATGGGACTAGTGGCTACTATATTAGGACTGCCAATAGTCCTGACCCATAAAGTGGTGTTAACATCTGTTAAATTTTTATTGGCTGTATTACTTTTTGGCTTATGTATTTGGAATATTTTATAATTAAAAAAAGGGAGAACAACACACTGGATTTAAAACAAAAACCCTAGAGGAGAAAACAGAGTAAATCTGTCCAAAACAATGATTTCATCAAGAATTTAATTGGAGAGCAATGGAATGAATGGTCATAATAGGAGATAATCCAAATGGTTTATTTGGGTTTTGTATATGTTTTATACTTAGACCGTACAATATGAACATGCTTGCTGTTCTGTAAACTCACACAATCTGTGTACCAACAATTGAGCCACACATGGGACTCCTGGCTTCCTTTTGAGATCTCTCAGAATGCAGCACCTAGTTTCCATCCTAGGTGGCAGGATGTTACAGACGAATATAAAGCAGCCCCTCTTCATCAGTCTCTCTCTACTTCTCATTCTCTCTCCTTACCCTCCTTTTTATTTATTTATTTTCACACTTCCTTAGGGCAAAGGAGTCTCCTATTTTTCCCATCACTTCTCTTGGAATTTACTGACCAAGAATAACCAGAAATGTTCTGTAAATGGGTGATGTCAAGAGCATGGAAGTATAAATGTCCTAGGTACCATTCATTCATTCATTCACTTTACAAATCTCTAGTGAGGGATTATTATATGCCAGATACTGTGCTGAAATAATCTATTTGAGACTGATTTAGAGATGGTCCTGAAATACAGCTACCTGAAATGTGTTCATATGCTCCACCTTTATAGCTTTCTATTCAGTCATGCCTTTTTTCCTACTTCGTCATATCTTTTTCTTCTGTTTTGCCCTCACAGATACTCCATGCCTATTATGTTTTAGAGATACTATTCGAAACTAAGGAAGCCTTGAAGCAAATGCCAAATTTTAATCATATAAGAACTTGTCCCACCAAAGAGATAACAATCTGTGGTAAGTTTTGGAGCAGAGTTGCCAAATTAATATTTTAGAGCCTCTTGGTTCCACGTCATTTGCCTAACTTGAAAACTGCATAAATTGGACTGTGTTAAGGGAAAAGTGTTAATATAGAGTTATCTATCATGATAATACTGTTCCCCATCTTGTCTTTGTTTTGCATACCAGCTGGCAGGAATTAATTATGTGAGAAATTAAAGAACCCACAGCTTTTTATAAAGGCAGCATTTTAATACAGAAACCACCCATGGGTGGAATAAGTGTTCTTTGCCCTCTGTCTGGCTCTCGTTATCTTTGTTCCATGTTGCTTTTCCCAGGTGGGCCTCTGCATGCCACTTATGCTGGGAAGAGAAAAGCTGAAGGCAGGGTGGAGATTAAAGTCTTCTCTGCTTTTGGCTGCTGTTTTAGATTTTCCCAACTGGTCTCTGCAGCTTTTAGAAGAGTGGGAATGTCCCAGAAATCTGTTCCTTGTTCTTCTAAATAACAAGATTGAGATTGTGTTATCCTATAGGCCAGCCTGGTAGGATATTGCTTCAAGAAACAGTACACATTGAAATTCAACACAGTTGGTGCTCTCAGCATGCTTGCAACTGTCTGAGAATGGAGTGCGTGGAAGGAACAGCAACTCCTTTAACTTCTAATTAAGCCTTTAGGTTACAAAACAGTGATTGTTATTTTCCAAATCAATTTTTAGCCCGTGTTTCTTTTACTCTGGCAGGTAGAAGTAGATTTGACAATCTAATTAAACCATTTCCATTTCTAGCATCTGATAGTGGTGACAGGGACTTGATGTAGCAGCACATACTTCATGACATGCCTTGACTCAGGTTTTTGAAGAGCCTTCAATGGTTTAATTCCAACCTAATCAGGCCACCACATCTCTGCCAAGCAGATGAGGCATCTCAGCAGTGGGGGCCTTTTATTCAAGGCTTCTCCCACTCTTACTTTTCATGGAAACAAAGGATTTGGAGTCATGAGACTTAGGAAGCCATGCCTATGCATGAAGCCTATGGAGCCAGGGCTAGATTTGCTATCGGAGTGTATATAATAGGCCAAACAGAGTAGGGCCTGTCCCCGCCTATTTTCAGTATATCTCCAGGTGCCATTGTGACTTTTCTTTGGATAAAAGGATCTGGAAGAAGACATGAATTAATTGGAGGACATGGAATCCTGGAATCACAGCAATGAGAAGTTCTTACAGAGACCATCTGTCTAACATGCCAAGCTTACTCAGCTGGTTAGTGACAGGGTCAGGATTAAAATCAGGCCCTCTGGTTAGAGCCAGCTGCATATCTGCTATTTTAACTCCACATCATGTACTGCTCTGATTGATGTTTCATTTTCCATCGTGAGACAAAGATTAGGGAATATAGATTGATGGGACAGTTCCATTCATTTAATGATCCCTGCATCTTAGGCATTTACTTCTAAGCTTTTCTCACATAGCACCATTGGTAAAAGGAAAAGCCAAGGTCAGTAGGTTCCCATAGCATGGGAATTATTTTCTATTTTTAATAACCCCATTGAACTTATAAAAATTGGCCATTATTTAAAATAAAATTTAACATTAGGTTCATATTTTTAAAAACATCTTCTGTTTAAGTTAGTAGTAGGAGAGGGAAAGAAATTGTGATGTAATTTTACCATTATCTTAATTTCCAGATGCATATTTTATATGCACATCTAAACATGCTACATGGTTCTCAATATGCATGAAATATAGGAGGTGTTTTATGCTCACTTCTGCAGCACATATACTAAAATTGGAACGATACAGAGAAGGTTAGCATGGCCTCTGTGCAAGGATGACATACACACAAGAAATATAGGAGGTGTTTTAGTCTACAATTATGTTATAAATCATAACCAATTTTGCACTCATGTTTTTGTTTGCAGTGGAAGTACCTTTCTGTAGCTATCTTTCCATGATATGGCTTTTATTGTTTGCTGCCCAAGTAGAAGTTAAAAATGTTTTTATAGTCTCTACTCTTAATATGCTGAAACCAATTCATTTTTAGCTTCAACAGTTCTGTCTATCCAAATCTTTGAAAGATGAATCACCCTGAAGCCAATTAGAAAAATAAAATGAGTAAAAAATATATTTAACTGATAAGTAAAAAGTCCTTCCATTTTTATTTTTTAGATTTAGAGTGAGACCACATGAAATCATGAGATTTAAGTATACAATAGTATTAATATGCTCTTAATGTTAATATTACAGTCATTTTATGAATAAGTGCTGGTGATAAGTATTTTAATTTTATCATTCCCATTATAATTGAAGTATTTTGTTGCATATATTTGTTTGAATTTGGTTGTGGGTTTTTAAACAAATTGAGAAAATTTTTTTCCAAATTAAATTCTATTTGGTAATTAAGTTGGATACAAAGAGTAAATATTTATGATCAGAGCTTATGAAAGATAAATATTTACCTAGAAATAATTATTCAAGTAGGCCTTTTAAATATTCATATTTTCACTCTTGTTTTTAAATTAATGGCTTCATATATTCATATGGTTTCCCTTAGTTGGCTGAGTTTTATAAAGCAATGCTTTCCTTTTAATTTTTTTACAACTGTCTCATCAAAAGAATGTGAGCCATCTACTCATACTTTTTAAGTTTCTAATTCAACTGCCTGAACATATTCTTTAAAACATGGCTTTAAAAAGCTACGTATTTAGCAATTAAATGTATTTATTGAGTTCCTGCTATGCACTGGGTATAGAGGAAACACATGGGTGGTGTTTTTTTTTAACACATGGGTGTTTGATGCCAGGATAGATATTATTGCTGCTTTAGAGATTATATTACAGAATAATCGATGAGGGCTTTAGTTTGGAAATGAGATAAAAATTGGGTTTGAATTCCAGCTCTGACACTTGGTGGTTAGGTAACTTTACATAAGTTACTTAACTACTCTGAGCCTCATTTGTAAAATGAGAATAATGAAAATAATATCCATCTGATAGAGTGGTTATAAGGACTGAACAAGATAATTAATGTAAACCTGTAATATAGTGCTTGGCACAGACTAAGGTAAGCACTGCGTAAATGGCAGGAGTGAATAGATAATTGCAATATTGGATGCTGTCCTCTATAGAAAGGGGACAAAGTTTCCATAGCACCCTGGAATTAATATCATCACAGGGTAAAAACCCAATGCCCCGAGAATGGTTGGACTATATTAGCAATATTTCAGTTTGTAAAATTCTGTAACAAAATGGGCATTTTCTTGTTTCCTACTGAAGAATGATTTTTCATTTGCCTTCCAGGCGATTTACATGGAAAATTAGAGGATCTCCTTTTGATCTTCTCCAAGGTAAGTGATTATTTTGCTAAATATTTGCATTTTTGTTGGGAGCAATCCTAGGGCAGATAATATTTGTTTTATTAGGGATGTGTACAAATAGAGATGAAATATAGCAGCTTTTATGCAAGAAGCTGAAAGATTTGTAGAGGGATAGCCTTTGGGTTTTTCTTACACATATTTCATAATTTTTTAAATTTAATTTGGGTCTTTGTTCAATGTTATTGTTATCTGTATAGCCCTTGGGATTTGTACCTGATTGTATTTGGGGTCTTTATTACATCATAGATGTCTAGATGGCACGGGATGGGGAGGGGAGCAGTCTGTTTTATTTTATTTTGTTCAGAAGTGAGCATATCACATACCAGTCTTCTCTTCCAATGCATACTAATTATGTCTGGAAGGAGTCTCCACAGTAAGTTCCACATTGCTCTCTTCTCTAACTGATTCACCATTGCTGGGCTCAGTTGCTCTTCCAGTGCCATGGCTCCTCTTCATTTGTTGGGTTTTGATGGTGGGGGTCCACACAGAGGACACAGAGCAGCTTGGTCTGCATGGGATTTCTCTGCATCTCTTGGATTGGAATCAATTCTCTCTCTGACTCAGCTGTTGTCAACTGAATGTTTGCTTCTGGGATGGCTGCATGTAGAAAACTGACCCTGAGGTGATCACTGCCTTCACAGTGACATCCCTTTTATCTGTCTCTGATTAATGTGTCATCCCCACAAGTAGCATGTTGAATAATTGGGCACAGCATAGGTGTCTCAAATGGACTGAAATAAAATATATTCTCATTATTATGGTGGCCATTCAGTTCTACTCTTTGGAGACTGTGAGAGCTTAAGTCACATAACATCATAAACCTTAATTTTTCTTTTGGCTACAATATTCTTGAGCTTCCACCTCATAAGAGATTTTCTTATGAATAAAATAACAAATATTCAAAAGCACTTTTAAGTACTAAGTTATTATAGAAATGAAAGGTTTGCATGTCATCTATTCAGAATGGAAGCTTGGAAGGAAAAGGAGCAGACCAAACCAGGAATGGATGAATGGAGCTGGCACTTAGGAGGTGATTCCGTTGAGACTGCAGGAGGCCTAAGCAAGGATCTAGAGCATGATAGCCATAGAGTGGGGTCAGAGGAAATGGGAGGCTGCCCAGGTAGTTGGTTGGTGTCAGGAAGTCCAGCCAAAGGTTTGCTGGTAGGGAGCTGAGGGTGCTGGCAAAAGAGCAGTCTAGCTGGTCAGGGAAGGAAGAGAAGCCAGATGGGCCAATCAACTGGGAGAAATGGGAGGAGTGATGGTTGGTATGTTCTCTAAGGGAAGGGAGCAGACTAACTGGGGTTAGGGCCTTAGGAACAGAATGGATGGGAAGTTGCAAGGGCGTAATCTTAGGGGGTGAATGGGTCCAAGGTGAAGTCCAGAAAGTGGGCAACTGAAGTAAGTAAAAGAGAATAGTGGCCATGAGGAGGTCAAGCATCTGGAAAGCAGGCGTATTAAGTGAGTTTGTGACAGGACTAAGAGATTGGAAGCAGGGGAAGGAAGTGTAGCCACAGGTCATGGGCCTAGAAGGAAGAGTAGAAGCTTTTACCTGATGCTGGCAACATAAAAAGCTGGGTTGGTGTTTGAGTGGCTCTGAGGAGTAAGTAGACCTTCCCCCACTCCTAACTCTAAGGTGTCCATCCTGTGGGAGAATAGATCCTTTCCTCCCATAGGGCTGCAGGAGCCAGGAGTACAGCAGTGTCTTTAAGATAGGCCCAGATTTCCAGAGGGAAGTCTTTCTGAATGAGTTGAAGGCAGAAGGGAGTTTATTTACTATGAAATGGGGATTCTACTGTCCAAACCAGAAAGCTATGATAGAGATAGAAATGATAGAATGGTGAGAGGACACCAAGGAATTGCAGTTTGGGGAATAGAATTTGTGGAACTCTATATAGCACCATATAAATGTTCAGAAGTTCAGACCCGGTATTGTTGACAATTATAATGTGAGGAAGGAGGAGGGGGAGAGGTGTATGTGGAATAACCACAGAAGAAAATCTGTTAATGATTGCTCTGGAAGTTTTGGGAAATACATAAAAGGGAAAATAGTTGAGTAAATTAAATGGGGAAAGTGACTTCCAAGGCATTTAGAAAAGAAAATTTCTCGAGTGGTAGTTGAAGCTACTAAGGTGTGATCAGGGAAAGGCCTCTGGAGTAGACTTGAGAAAAGAGAGAATTCCAACATATTGCTTTAATGCCATTGGTAAACTATATGGAATATATACTAGTAAAACTGGAAGGTGCTAATGTAAAGATCAAACAGGAGGAGGTGGGTGGTAAGAAGTACTATAAAAAGAACTAAAGGTGAAAATATAGCTTTCACATGAGAGCAAGAAATATTTTGAGAGTTAACCAATGAGAGTGTTCACGAAGTAGAGATTGAGAGGCCAGTGATGAAAGAGTGGGCACTATTATTTGGGATGGATTTGGGTAGAGGGAGGTGAGAGGCTTGTTTGGAAAGCAGAAGCCTGCAAGAGCCATGAATTAGCATTTTAAAGGCTTTAGTGAAAAGCAGGTAAAATGCACCTTAGACATGGAAAAAAACACATGCACCAGAATCTGGAAATTGCCTGATTTAAAAGGGGAAATTGCGGAAGAGGCCTTGATGACAGCAAGGTTCCACTTTAAGAAATTGAAAAGATGGTGTAATTAATGGTGTCTGAGAAGGGAGAATGACCTGGTGTGCTTATGATGATGTGAGTCTCTTAGCTTCTGGGCAATGAGAGTCCTAAATTAAGGGCTGAGAAAGAAAAGGGCAGGACAGAGTTGTCTCAGAAAGCTATGCTATTTGATGACCACTAACTTTTAAAAGTCAGTATTTTGCCTTTTTCTTTCTCATATTTTAATCCAAAGTTTAAATGAGGAATGATGATAGATGGCAGAGTATAGGCTATAGTACTTCCTGAAATCATGAATACAAACTCTTCTGAAAGCAATGTTTATACATGAATACAAATGACAGTGATATTTGTACCCCGAGGTCAAACTCCCATCTACTTATCACTTCCACAGAAACCCAGAATTAGGTAAAAAGGGTCTCTGAGCTCTTGAAATTCTTGTCCAATGCACCTTACTCACAGGAGAGGTCCTAGGCCCTTACTCAAAGACCAGTGAACATATATCCATAAAACCTTATATGACATGTTTTCTGCAAGTTTGCCAGTCTGGCTCCTCCACTCCCCAACAGATTAGGGAGTGGGAGGGGAAAGGTGAAAGTGAGATTCAGTGACAATGAAGAAAAGTAAAGCTGTTCCTGACAGTAGGAGGAGATCTAGAACTCTAAAAATGAGGCGGGCAATGAAGTAGTAATCTTCAGGGATCGGGGGCTGTGTGTATAGATTGGGAAGAGTGTTCTGTAATTCTGAGGTTTGTTCTGGCCCTCCGGTCCAGTTTAAGAACCCATTGTGGCCCTCGAGTCAAAAAGTTTGCCCACCCCTGGCCTAAGGGCATGCTTAGTTTAATGTGTCTGCATGGTCAAGAAGGTTTCAAGTTCTACAGTGTGTACTTTGTTAAGGAGTAAAGAAACAAATGCACATTTTAAAAATTCCTAGCCAAAGTGATTCAAATAATTTTAAAATGTAGTCCAGCTTTTAAAGGAGTATGCTTCAGTGATCTGGAAAATTCATTTCAGCAATGCTTGCAGTATGAGTAAGTATCATTATTGGGCCTTAGTGAACATTAAAAAAAGAGATTAGTTGAGATAAAAGTAATGGGCAAGGAAAGTAGATGAGGAGGAAAGGAAGAACATCTTAAAATGAGGAAAAGGGTGGGGAGGGGTGGATTTCTCTTTTGGCATCAAATACAAAGGTCGCCTGTGAAGGGATTACAACAGGTGCTACGACCCAAGCAATCGCTTGATTGCTTCAGGAAATGGTAGAGTTTCTGTGATGGTGCTGATTCTCACTGTGATATTCAATGCATCCACAGCATGTTCAATCCTGATTACTGGTAATGCCCTGCATGTGGGGCTTTCCTCCGGTTCATTCATAGGAGCGCATAGGATTGAGCTGCCTCACTGTAATCCATGGGCTAGCTGTCTTCTGTTTAGAAAAAGTTAGAGACCATGCTTTAACTGATCCTTATTTAACATTATCAACCTATCTTAATTTTATTCATGAAAATTATTTTTAGTTTATTCAAGCTCCGATTGAACTTGAATGATAGGGAATAGTTTGGCAAACTACATCCTCTTGGAGATTCTTGGAGCTATAAATGACCATGTTTATATTATGCTCCCACTAACTGATTCTTCTCTATCAACCCAAAGTAGAAACCAGGAAAACCTCAGGCTTTGAAATCAGGAAAAATTTTATCTTTCAGTTTGTGTTTTGCTAGACAATTTCTTCTTCGTCAGTTCTTTTAGACAGTACTAGAGGCCCAGTGCCGTGCACTGGTGGGGTCCCTCGGCCTGGCTTGTGGGGATCAGGCTGAAACTGGCTCTATGACATCCCCCAAGGGGTCCCAGATTGTGAGAGGGCAGTTCTCAGGTGACACATTCCGGAATTGGGCTCCCTCCTCTCTGGTTCCAGGTGTGTCACCCGAGAACCACTGCTGTCAAGTGACCACAACTCGGCAGTTCCTGTGTTGAGTGTCTGCCCCATGGTGGTCAGTGTGCATCATAGCTATCGGACAGTCGGGCAGTTTATATATATAAGTTACTTACGAGTTTCCCAACTAACGAGTTTTTCGAGATACGAGCCGTCGCTCGGCCGATTTTTTGCTTTGAGTTGCGAGCTAAAATTCAGGTTGCGAGCCCGCTTCAGAAACCCCACCGCTAGCTGATGCAGCGAACGTCACAGTGAACGGCACAACATCAGCCCAGCATCACGTGTCTCACTCGTTCACAACTGATTTGACATACGAGTAATTTTAGTTACGAGCTCCGTCACGGAACAAATTAAACTTGTAAGTCAAGGCCCCACTGTATATAGATAGGATGAGTAGGCTGCAGGACTGGGTCCTGCCCAAGG